GAATACGTTTTCCACGTAGAGCTCTATTCCAAATGACCTCCCAGAGGCCTGTATTCTGCCGTATTCCACCCGTATTCCACGTATTCCATGGAATACGCCGTATTCCAAAAATGGACGTATTCCGTATAAAATTTTCTTCGCTCCGCGAATTCACACAGTAGGGCTTATGCCCTTCACAGCCTTGTTATTGAGAAGAAAATACCTCCTATGGCGCTGTGCGCTGGCCTGTGAGAGGTTGACAGATAGGGTGATTGAACGAGACAGAGAGTTGACATTTTTCAATGCTCCACGAATGAGCAGCAGCAGCTTGGAGACCCGAGCGCTGGAGCGGTTGGTGCCGCGGTGCCTGGTGAGGCGACTGCAGCACCCGAGCCGGCACGCCGCCAGCCTTCGCAGTCCATCGGTGCGCCGTTCCCAGCGAGGTGCGCACAGAGCCACCTGCCGCCGACCGCGCCGGCCGCCTCGCAGGTTGAGGTTTACGAGGGTGCTCTGGCGTTCATCGACATCTCTGGCTTCTCGCGCCTCTCTGAGCTGCTATCCGAGCGGCATGGTGCTCAGGGTGCCGAGCTGCTGCAGACCTACATCAACCGCTACTTTCGCTCGCTCATCGAGGCGGCGCTTGCCTCTCCGCCCACCGCCCTGCAGTGGGTGGTGTCACCCAGACCCCCACCGCACCCCGCAGATCGTGGTCGCTCACGGCGGCGACATCCTGAAGTTCGCCGGCGACGCCTTCATCGCCTCCTGGCGTGCCGACTCGGCCGCCTCTGCTCCCGGCCAGGCGGCCGGTGGTGGCGCTACCTGCGGCAGCAGCAGGGGCAGCAGGGCGGGCCGCGGGAGCTGCGCCCAGACCTTCTTCGACGGCGACGCTCTGGCGGCCGCGCTGAGGCCCGGGAGCCAGGCGAGCGGCGACGCCTCCGAGCCGGAGCCGTCTGTGCTCGGCTGTGCAGTCGAGGCGGCGTGGCGCTGCTGTGCGAGGCGGCGGCAGTAGCGCGGCGGCGGCGGTAGCGCGGCGGCGGCAGTAGCTCTCGCGGCTGCAGTAGCGCGCGGCTGAGGGGCTGG